TGTACACAACCTGAGACAGAGTAAGAAATACTTGGAGGATCATGGGACTTAGTAACTAGGGTTATAATTAAGGTAACTATACTTATAATTACTTATAACCCCAATTAAGGTACTTATAACCCTACTTACTAACTCCCAAGATCCTCCAAGTAATTATTTTACTCACGGGAACCGGAGCTTCGTTTTCAGGCCTCAGCCCGACATCGCTTGGAAGAAAGCCTTGGGTCAGTTGCAGAGCAGGGGTGTTCACTTGGAGGATCTTGGGACTTAGTAAGTAGGGTTATAAGTACCCTGATTGGGGTTATAAGTATAGTTACCTTACTTATAACCTCAGTTACTAAGTCCGATGATCCTTTAAGCACCCTCAGCCTCAACTCCAACTGACAGAAGTGAACTTCCGGAGGATTGTCGTGTACTAGAGACCATCGAGCTTCTCGGTTTGTAGGGGTTGCCTACGAACTGAATGTTAGGCATGAGCCCAACCGAACTCCAAATCTCGATCTCATTTCATCCAGAACAGGATTGCATGGAATCCTAAACCCGAGCCGCCCGAGCCCTAAGATCCAAAATCCCTGCTCCGAATCCTGCGCAGCCTTCACGACGATGAGTATCCTACTTCGGTCCTGCTGCGAGTACGAGACGTGGCTGGGAGATGGATCGGTCTCCTGGCACCGTTCGTGTTTGCGATTTAGGGCTTCTTGTAGCGGATTTTCTTGTGATGCCTGCGACCTCACTTCTCGCGCAAAGCCTCAAACTTCCTAAACCCTAAACCAGTCAATCCGTAAGGTAAATCCTCGAACTGAGACGCTAAGCCCTGAAGCCAGCCTCTCGCAAAGATGATGCCAAGACTGTGAATATTCCACTCTACTCTCTATTGTATTTTTTCTGGCAACCAAGTTCATGGTTAGGAGTCTAAAAATGCAAGAAGAAAACATAGTCACTAACTACTTCAACTGCATCGGACACTGTAGGTAGTAAAGGTGCCTGAGTACTCACCTATACTATTTGGGGGCGCTCCTTATTGTAAGTATAGTCGGATAGGATAGCCCAAGCCATATTCTGATAATTAAGGCCTCTATATCAGACCCCTCAATCCCACCCGGCCACTCGGAACCAATACTGTTGTCATGCTTCTTCTTGGCCATTTACTGCAAAGGGTACATGGGTCGGAAAAACAGTCCAAACTAGTGTTACTGTAAGTATGCTCTAGTGTATGCCGCAACCCGTTTATTCTTCTGATTATTATCAAGGCGCCTGTATCACAGCGCATTCTACTCTCAGGTGGAAAAAGCCAAGCTCGTACTTTCCACGCAGTTCGACCTGGTTGGCAGCTTCACCTGTTTACTGTCGTGGGTTAGAGTTTAGAGGTGGGTGATATGAACTTGGGGAGGTTCCAATCAAACGCATCCTAATATAGGAGCCTAAATAATTCCCACTACTATTTTGGGCGTTCCTTCTTATGTATACGTATACCTCAAAACCCTATTCGAACTGTGAAGGCGCCTATATTCCCCATTTCTGGCCCGTGCTTGGGTTCAGGGTTAGTACATCAATAGATAGGGTGCCACGCGCCAAAATCGAAACCCTAATCGCCAGAGGTGTCCCGTTGGGAGAGAGGCGAGGATGGATTTCGGACCCTAAACCCTACAAAATAAACCCTAAACCCTAAAGAATCAGGCCTAAAACCCTAATGGCTCGTCAGTCGAAGCAGTTTCTTTCGTGATGCGGCCACGTGGCAGCCCTAGAGTCCCCCAAACCGGCACAAGCCAAACAAACTAAAACCTCTATGCAATCCCTACCCATCGGCCCCATAGCATATGTAGAATCCTATAATGTAATCCCAAAAAGGAACTACTATGGGGCCTATGGGTAGACTAGAGGCGGAACATTTCGGAACCGAACACTGTTTGCAAGCCCAGGCATCACCGAACGGATGAACGATGCTCTGGTGAGCCTGGGTCGTCTGTATGGTCTCTCTGCAGAAGAGACTGCGCAGATCGGACTAAAAGCGCCTTTCCTGGTTTCAGACGCTGATTGCCTGCCCTTCGAGGAGATAAACTCTACAGTTTAGTGGTCATAAAGTAGTCATAACTTTCACAATGGTTTGACAGGTTTGTGGCTCGGAGTTTATACTTGAGAATTTGCCAGGGTTGTTGAAGTTTTGCTGGTCCCCACTCATTGACCCGGCAGAGAATACTGCTGCAGCAGCAAGTGTAGAAGGCACCACGACGGAAAACCTGTCCTTGTTCTTGTTGCCGAAGCCCCTTAATGGGAGCCTAAACAACTTCCAACACTGTCTTGGGGGTTCCTTATGAGAATCATACAATAAAGGAGCCCAAAACCCTATTCTAATTATTAAGGCCCCTACATTATGCAACCCTAAATAGCCTAAGCCCTAAACCCACAAGCCCGAAACCTCTAAACACTACCAGGCTGATGATCAAGATAAGCACGACAACTCTGAGAACAAGCTGGACTGGACCGAGGAGGAACTCCGTCTCGCCACTGTTGTGGCGGAGAAGGGCATCTCGTACAGCCATAAAACAGGAGTCGGAACAATTTGCAATAGTATCCCCTTGCCCCCGCCCCGAACCCTATGCTAATTACTGTCATGTTCGGGGTTTATAGGTCTTGGAGGATTATGTAGTGTTTGTTCAGCATGTGCGGCTCACTTTCAGGGTTTAGGGTCTATCAATTGTCTTAAGAGGCTTACCATGTACTCATAGCCATTCAGGGGCGAACCCCAAGCCTGCAGCCCAAGGAACGCAGATCTACGATTTCGGTCAGGAGCTCTTCGACAGGCAGTCTGTGAGTCTCTTTGGGACCTATGAGAATTTGCGCGCGGCGGTTGAGACATTTGAGAAGATGGACCCAGACAGCCTGGAGTGAGACAGGAGAGCCGGTTCAAGGAGACAAAAGTGATTGTAGTTCTGCTTCTGTCCGAAATATCCTCCATCACCACCGGCATGACCATCAGGCATGATCCTTCTCACCATGAGCGCTGTAATGATAGTAGAAGGAATGACTCCTCATGACGACGACCGTTTGTGCTATCTCAGAGGGCAGTACGAGCCCACATTGAGATTGCGAAGCGCACCATGCACTCAGAAAACAGCCGCTTGCCAGGTTTCCCATAAGTCTGTGGATATAGTATGTAGCAACATGACGTTTTTGGGTGAGCTGTCAAAGAAACAATGATCCGGTTCCTGCATGGCCCTCTCGCACGTGCACAGCAATGAACCGCAAAGTCATTTTAAATTTCCAACCAAGGGTCCAAGTACCTAATAATCATGTATTCTCTCAAATAGTAACCTACATAACTACTATCCGAAACCTAAGTACCTAATTATCGGGTCCTTTGGACCCTTAGGGCAACAGCAAGCCAACCTGGTTCGGGCTCGGAGCAAAGCGTTTTAGAGTTCTTGGGCTGTCGCTTTGTCGGGGCAGCCCGCTGCATGTCGTGGGCTTTCGTCTTTCGTGGTAGCATGCTTGTGAGACTTGTTGCCCGCGCGGAACGGACAGCTGCATTCACTAGCTGTTCGCGTGGAGCACAACATGGGCGTTGGTCTCCTGAATTTCAACCCTGTCCTGTGTACCAATACCTGAATTTCAACCCTGCTCCGTACCATGTGCGTTCGGGGCAACTCTGGACCAAACCCCAGCCCTACAACCCGTAAACGTCCGAAATCGCAAGAGCTTGCACCTCCGAGGCAAACGCAGCGTAAACCCAACAGCATCCAACAGCCCAAGACTCCAATACCCAACTTTCAGATCTAGGCTTTGGATGCTAAATGAGGCCGGCGCGGAGGATTTCATCCACATGATGGAGAGTGGGAAACACCCATCCTTGAAGGACTCCGTCTTCAGATCGGCTAAACCCTAAACCCTAAACCCTAAATAGCCGTGTCTACGGCAACAGTTGAAACTGAAGCCTCAATGAAGTTGAGTGAAATGCATTCGCATCATTCTAGATATGGGTGGTTGTCACAATTAGGGTCCCTTTTTGGATCCTTATTATAATACGGCACCTATTATTCAGGGTACCCCAAAAAGGGACCCCAATTTTGACAACGACCCATATGTGTTCGGAGGCACTCTCCCCACATGCGCAGCCTTGTTTGACACAGTCGTTAGGGCTCCTACTGCGCTGATGAGCGGATCTGTCGACGACGGGTCTTGATTTTCGGGCCTCCGGTTTGTCAAACTGGGTTTGGTGACTTTCTGCGACGGTTTAGGGTTTAGGATGTAGGGCTTTTGATAAAGCGAAAGGTACAGTAAGTCAGCTTCCGAGGGAAGGTATGATGCTGGGGTACTTGGACCCATAGGGAAGCCTTGAATCTAAATCCGAAGCCTGTGCCACAGACCCCAGATTTTCTTCGCAGGAGGTGCGACTCAACAACAACCTCGCCTCTTGGGCTGGCAGTTTTCTCCTAGGCCTTACCTATAGTCTCCATTGTAGTTCCTTTTTGGGGATACTTTATTAAACCCTCAATATATATCTTGGTTAAACCAAAAAAGGAACTACAATGGGGACTATAGGTAAACCCCCAAACCCCAACCAAGGTCGGTTCATCGTTGCGGATGCGGCTTACAGCCGTCGCGCAAGAGACGCATGGAAGTGACTTCACTTTGCGAGTTTAGAGAAAGGATGCACGCAGGGTTTCTTGACAAGGTAGCAAGATGTCACAGCAGGTGGCGCAGAATCCTATCATATCCAATGGTTCTCGACACATTCGAGTCCTAAACCCTACACCCTAAACCCAAGTGCGCACGTTACGACTCTCGAAGCTTTGTTCCCTGCAGTGCGACCTAGTCAGCGAAGCGGGTGGGAACAAACCCAAGTGCTTCAGGTTCCCCTTTCGAGGTTCAGGTCGCTAGGTTCTTAACAGAGACGGAATCACATCGGCGACGATTTCGTCGATTCGTCAGCTTCCACAAGTATGTCGTACCCATCTTCGTGCTTGGAAACCCAGCGCGGCATCCAGTTTCGCTATGTTTCACGCCTCAGCGTTTCACAGAGGTTGACCACATCTGGTCCAGCGAACGCATGGGCAAAAAGGGTGTCTCTCACATGAAACCTTGCAGCTTTGAGTCTCGGTTGATGTTTCCAATATATATATATATATATATGAAAATGCCCGAAGTCCTCCCAAAAATTAGGTACTTTGGCTTCGAACAGCAGTAATTGTAGGTTCGAGCTTAGGCGTGTATACCATGTATAACCAATTTATACTGGTGCCCGGAATCATACTGGGTTGTAGCCCGGGTATTCGTATCCAGGGATTGGCACACGATACACGACAGTGTCACCTCGTCAAAAGTTTGCCAGCCAGCTTTTTTTACTAGTCTGCGAAAGCCCCAAACCCCGCGAGCCTAAACCCCAAGAAGCGGCCAGGCCCGCTGCTGACTCGTCTCGAAGATGGTGAGCAGATCCAATTTTCACAAGAGCCCACGGTCTTAGAATTGTGGTCCGGGCTTTTGCACTTGAGACTTATAGGGCTAAAAGTCCTCAAGCTTGGCGCGTCGTGTGTTTTACCCATAGCCTCTAGATCCGAAAAGTTGGGGCAAGCCAAGCCAAGCCGGCAAGATAAGTTCAAGTCCAGTGCTGCCCCAATAGGCCCCCAATTATGTCTTCGGAGATGTTAGCATCCATCTTTGTGCATCTGCCCGAGCCCTTTTGGTTTCATTTGATTGCTGACTAACCGCAATCCTGATCTAATGCTTCCTAGGCCCGAACTGCCAAGCATGAGTCAGCGGCAAAGTCCTCCACCGACAGATCAGCTCACAACAGACAGCAGCAGATGCTCGGGTCGAAAAGGTCTGGGTACTTTGCTGAGAACCCTGCCAAAGGTTCGCATCCTTTAGTGAAAGGTGTTGGTTGGCTTGAGATGCTGCAGCATTTGTCTTGACGTTGTTATCAGGCACCAAGTGTTTTCAACCCAGCCTAAGTTTACATGCTTCACCTGATATATCAACGCGTGTGGCACCAAGCTGTGGGCTGTTCATCGCTGCTTTCGGGATACATGATGCTTGGGTGAACGACATGTGGCACGGGCTCACCGAGAGAAAATACCCGGAAGGCGACATTTCAGACAGGTTTTGACTATGAGTGTTTGAGCATTGGGGTGCAGGAGTGTATCTATTCTAGCGCACTGTTCTGTTCCAAGCTCATGAAAGCTGAGACAATGTCCGTCAAGCAAACCTTGCTCTACTTCAGATTCAGCGGCAGGGCTCGCAGAAGCTGTATTCTTCATTTACGTGTTTGCTTCGGGGCGAACACCGTGCCATCATTGTCCCTGGCGTCTTTGTGACTTGTCTGACTGTTGATTATTTACATGAGATGCGGAACGAGGACGGGACACAACACAACTCCAACACTAGACTCGATGACCTATAACTGTCTCCGTTGGGTTATCGCAGTGCCGCCAGCTTTGCATCAACGTGTGGATGCCGCAGCTGTTATCCCCTTTACTGAGCATTGGCGGGGAACAGGGGAAGAAACAGAGGCCACGCGCCTCTGGCCGGGTGGCGGCCTCACACGACTGAGGGCACTCGAAACCCCAACTTGGGGTTTCAGGATACAGGGCTTTGGGCGGAGCGGGCCAGGATACGAATGCATGAAGTTGCCGGCAAAATAGCGTATCGTGAGTAGAAATCAGCAGAACGGCGGATCTGTTGTGCTATTGTTGGTTTGAGTGAAAGCTAGAGTAGTCCAGCTCTGCCGGTGTAGACCGGAGGCTTGGGGTGGCTTCGTGTCACCGATGTCTTGTCCAAGCGCAGCTGCAGGTATTGGGGAGCTTGCTCTATGGCCACTTTCAAGCTGCGGTGAGAGCTGCAGAAATAGCCCTAAACCCTAAAAACCCTAAACCCCAAACCCCTAAACCATGCCCCAGCGAATCCGCTTGACTCATACAGTCGGCAGACTTCCCTTGAACTGTGGAGACCCTAAGCTTCTTCCTTACCCGTACCCATAGGAGTGGTTCCTTTTTGTGGCTTGTATTTAGGATCCCATTAGGTAATCCCAAAAAGGAACTACTATTGGGCCTATGGGTATAGTCGCCCTGAACAGTGGCTTTGTATCTAGCTCCCGTCTCCTGCCCTTAGGTGTGATGGACTGAACAGTAAACCTGAAACCCTCAAACCTGACTGGCCCATCGTTTCCAGAAGGTCGAAGTCCGAAGAGAGATGAAGCTTTTGCTCCATGTGATATAGGGGCCTTAATAATTACAATAAGGTTTTGGGGCATATTATACTATAGTTATAATTGGGAACTCCCAAAACCCTATTCTAACTCCTCAACCTCGTCTTCATGCCATCATGACCCCATAATCTAAACCCGGTAAAACCGAAATCCTCAACCCCCATAGACCCAAAGTCTGATCCTAAACCCTAATCCTACACCCTAAACCCTAAATCCGCATCCTAAACCCTAAACCCTAATCCTACACCCTAAACATCCCTAAACCCTATAAACCCCGAAACCCACAACTTGCCCAGGTCGCCCCGACGATGGCAGAGCTCCAGGTCCGAGGGACCTCGCCCACGCGCGACCTGTGCGCGCCCAGAGTCCGGGATGGGTCCGGGCCCTGGACTTTCAGATTTTGGATGAGGGTTTGTGGGATTCGGGGGTTTCGGTTGCGACGGGTTTCGGTCCAGGATTCAGGTTTTTTTAGGGTTGAGGTAAGTTTCAATTTGAGGCTGCAGGTTTGGAGATTCACTTGATGTTCTGGCTTTCGCGTTCTAAGTTCGTCGTTCACGTCTTCATGTTCATTAACTCATGAAGGTTGTGCTCGGGATTTTTTTGGGTAAACAACACCTTATTTGTCGGTCGTTGGGGTGGTAGAAGTCTTGGAATAAGTCTTTGGGCATCTTCGTGAAGTCTTCGTGTC